AAAAAAATATTTGACTTTTTTTTTTGGGTACAATTTGTTGATTTTTTTTGGCCTTTTTAAATAACATTTTGACTTTTAAGTTAACAGTTGACGGTGGCAAATGACTACTTGTGATCGTTATTTTAGTAATAATAAAAACAGCAATGGTTGAGGGTCACAATTTTTGTGGCTCAAATGGCTCGAAATTGTCAAAACGATATTGTTTTGAGTACAAAACAACTTCAAAATTGCCAAAACGACGTTGTTTTGATAATTTTGAGCCATTTGAGCCACAAAAATTGTGGCCCTCAAACATTTTTCTAATAAAAATGGTCTTTGCTTGTGTTTCAAGTAGTATTTGATTATAACCTATTTTGGTGTTAATCATGAGTTTGTTAAGACCTATTGTGGTTATTATTTTTATTATAAACAAATAGGTCTTTGGTTATATTTTAAATAATATTTAATTATGACGGATTGCGTTTATTTTAATTATTACTAAAAATAATTTAGTGATGATATTGTCATATCAACACCCCAAATAGTAATAACTTGCATATGATAAAAATAGAGTGTACGGTGGAACGTAGCTATTAAAATTTTGGATAAATTATAAATATAGCACTTGTAATTCATTAAAAATACAAACTCTCCCTTTATATTTAAGAAATTACATCCTATCAATTGATGTTTTCAATTACATAACAAATAGTTTCCTTTGTTAATCAATCATTAAGTCAAACAAACAGAATATATGACGTAAGTAACAATTTTTTTTATTATAAAAATATCTATATTAACCTTTATGAAGTTAATAATTTTATTATTTTTTTCTTTTTTCTATCTCATTTGCTCCCAGTTTTTGCTCAACTATTGTAACAATATTTTGCTTAACCATCGTGCCACTCACTCCCACTTTCAATCAGTACCACCATTATTATTGTTATCTATAAGCATTTGGTGCGTTGCGGAGAAGGAATGGAGAAAATTGTAATAGTGTAGGGTTAGGGAGTTGGTGGTGGATGGATAAAAATGAGGGTAGTATGATAATTTTATTTTGATATTAAAGGATATTTGGTTAATTTATATTTTTTGTTAGGTCAGTTATCAAAAAAAAAATTTGACAGAAAAGTATTTGTAATTTTCAAAACGTGAAGAGAGAATTTGTATTTTTGTCAAATCGCAAGGCATATATTTATAATTTATCTTAAAATTTTTAAATCTTTTTTGCCTAATATATATTTCAAGAATAATTTTCAAAAAGGGTAATATTATGATACACACTGTCAAAAGCGTGTCTATCATATGCAAGTTATGCCATTTGTGAATTTGATTATCACAAATGCATAACTCAATACTATGAAAGTCAAAACTAAAAAAAAATTGAGTTATAATTAAATATCACATGAAATACCAAACAATTCTTAGATCATAATCAAAATAATATCATAATTAACATCACAATTTATCATAACTAATAATATAATAAATTATAACTAAAAAATACAAAAATCATAACCAAATATCCATACGATACACCCCCAGAAAATCTGCCTTACAAAAATTGTCAAAATAGTTTTTATGAAGTTTCCATGTGCCTACAACTTCAGAACCAATCTTAGTTTAATATAAGTTTAATAATGTCGGCCATCCACACAACGACAAACTAGGTAAAACCTTCTAATACCATTATTGCACATTATTGCTCTATTCATTCGACAGTTTTGAATGGTACAATTACTATTTCTAAATTATATTTTATGTAGACAACTTGATGTGAGACACTCACATTAATTGAACAATTATGAAATTCGAGTAAATTAAATTTGTCACATTCAATATTAAGTAAAATGTAATTATTTTAACATTATTAAAAATAAAATACTACATATAAATAATTTTTTTATCAAAATTTTTTAACAATGCACAAAGATGGTAGAACTCATAAAATCCGTTACCATTATGTCCAATTATAAATAAATTTTGTGTGTGCGTCAAAATCTAATCACACAATTAACAAAAATCTTCTTCAAAATATGAGAACAAAATTTGTGGGACACTCCAATAATAAAATAAGTGACAATCTCACAAATACTTCACAAGTACCTTTAACCTTCGAGGGTTATTACCTTTATGTAGAATATCCTGTTGCCCCCTCCTAGTAGTCCCTTCCCTATGAATCACGTTGTAGTTCACACCTAATTGGGTTATTTTATGATAAACCTCTTAAAAGAGTCATAACTCACTCAACTTAGAAGTTATTCATCCATAATGACTTGTATTCCTCGTCGAATATCTCCGCCTAAGTATGGTTCCAACTATCAACTCAACCATCATAATTTGCCATGTAGCAACTCGGTTTGAAATGATATTTACATAACCTTACTCACAATTATGTAACCATATTTTTTAATAAATTATTAGGATACTTGTTGAAAAGTCCAAGCGAATGATAGTATAAAACATTAGGTCTATACGATATTTTTTGTTAGTGAGAGGTCCATTATTTGTGAAATAGTTTGGTGAGATGTCCTTTTGTTTGTTTTAAAAGACATTTTGTTTATAATTTTACTCTTAATTTATCTGTTGACTTTCGTTGACTATTTGTTCAAAACTTTTCCTATCTGTTCAAACTTTTTCTTATCCATTCAAAATATTTTCTTATTTATTAAAATTTTTTCCCCTATCTGTTCAAATTTTTTCTTATCTATTGAAAACATTTTCTTATCTATTAAAAATTTTTCCTATCTAATAAAAATTTTCCCCTATCTGTTTAATTTTTTTCTATTTGTTCAATTTTTTTTTACCCTATTTGTTTAATTTTTTAACTATCTGTTCAATTTTTTTCCTTATTTGTTCAAATTGTTCATATGCATATTGATGATGCTACAATATCAATAGCGTATCGGACGGACTAGCCCACGTCTTTAACGAGTTTGTTAGTTCATGAATCCTTGATGCATGCCTACAAAAAGGTCCAAATGGGGAAGTAGTCCCTTAACGAACACTCCAACGATCAAGTTAGGTTAGGGTAAATAGTAATTGTTTTTAGAGAGAGAAAAATAGGATGAAAACTTAATCTCTAACGCATATCAAAAGCTTCTTTATATCTTTTGCTCATCATTTCCTTGTTCATTCCGAGCTGTCTTGTCAGCCGAAAGTCTATAACCTAGTTGACATCATTTATAGTGACTTTGCATACTTCGGCGTAAAGGGTCTTGTTGCATTTAATGCTATAGTGGCCTCATTAAATGGCTGATGTATGGGTGCAATAACTTTGCAGGATCTTTATCTGCCTACATGGTTAATTCCCTACCTGATAAATGTGTGGATGCTATTGGTCCTGACCCATCATTGGCTTCTCAGAGTTACTAGGCTTTAATACCTAGGTCATGAGTTAGGCCCTACTGTGAGCTGGACCCTGAGCCGTGGGCTGGGCCTTCTTGAGTGCCCATCAGTATCACATACAAAGATAGATAGATAGATAGATAAAGAGAGAGGTTCTACTTCAAATTCTCAACAATGGCTATCTATTCAAATTTTATTTGTCTAATTTTTCATCTATATAAACTTTTTTATCTGTTTAAATAGATTTGATTTGTCATATTGAAATAGGTCTGATCTTTTGTTTTATCTGTTGAAAATCAATTGAAAAACATATTTGACTCTCTATCTCTCTTTCCACCAACCACTATCTGTTTCAAATAAAGATTGATGTTCAATTCCTGAAACACAGTGTTGAAATTGCCATTACTCCATAAGAAGAAGAAAAAAGTAAAAGGAAATCAAGTAGGCTGGAGATATGGTGAGGATACAACCTTCAATTCTATAATTGTAAATACATTTGTCAAATTGTGATATACATATATTAGATATGCATTTAATATATTAATGTGTGTGTAGATTACTTTGATTTCACATGTTCGGTACTTCAGGATCATGAATTTAGAAAAAAACATGTAGATGTAACATAGAAGAGAATGCTGGCACCATTGATGAAGGCGAACACGAATGTGTAGTCAATGAGATCAATCTGAAAGAGACAAAGCCTCGTTTCTGCTTCTTCTAGGGCTTCAAAGTGCTTCGTTTCTTGCTCATTCTTCAAAACCAAAAATAAAAAAATTATAAAAAAATTATTGCTAAGTAGTATATAGGTAGGTAGCTTTCAAGCAAAAGAGGCAGAGATGGGTAATTATAGTAACTGAGATTTTAGAGGGTGGTGTGGACGACGTAGCCGCTGAGGAGGAGTTAACGAGCGAGCTCTAAACAGATAAAGCCACTTGCTCTTCAACTTGATCGACAGATCTGAGGTGAAAGGGTAATGACGTAACTACGCCGCCACCGATCTACTACCGTATCGTGATGGTGATAGTGAATTCACTACCGAGAGACGTACTGAAGATTCAAACCCCTTAAATATGAGATTTTTAGATATGGCCATAGTGACGGATGTGTATGCGCTTATGGTAGTCAGATCTTCTCGAACCTAGTAGAGCCACTAGCAGATGAGGAAAAAGAGTCAATGCGGCACTAAAGACAATGAGATAGATAGATATGTATATATATATAGAGAGAAGGCAAGACAGTAGTGGCAAAATCGCGGGGAGCTTGACGATGCTGATCTAACATCTCCGTCGCCGAAAAAAGACGGCGTCTTCGATTTAGATCTAAGCATTGGAGCAGAACTCATCGATTGAGAGGATGGTGAGAGAAAGATTATGGGTTCATTTCAATAGATAGGGTAGGAGAGAAGAAAAAGAGAGAGAGAAAAAAAAAGATAGAGAGAGAAAGATGGATGAGATAGAGAGAATGAGCTTTGTTGAATGGATTTCAACAGGTTGTTATATGAAATCTAACTCTACAACATGAAGAATGGGTAATTTGGTCATTTTTCAAAAACTTATCTTTATGGACAAAGTAATTTAACACGTGGACCTGTGGGTCGAAAAAATTTAAAATTGGACAGTTGGATTGAATACCAAAAAAAGAAACCTCATTTGCGCCATCGCTTAAAAAAAGTTGAGCCACCATTGTTGCTTTCTCTTTCTATAGTGAGAAACAAAAGCAAAATCAAAAGCCCCCTATCATTATTTCTTTTTTCTTTTTTGTATGAGCCTTTTTGGTATTAATTTGTTTTGTTTGTATTGCTGCTTCATTATGGATTACGATTTGGTAGCAAATACTCTTTTGAATGGAGAAACATAGTAAGGGGGTAGCAATGGGAATGAGAAGGAGAAGAGAAAAAGAGGAAGGGCTGATGATGATATATGTTAGGATGAAGATGTGTCATTTTCCAACATTGACAGAGTTGAGTGTAATTTAGGTAATAGTTAAGGGAGGTGAGTGTAAATTGACATAAATTTATCAAATTTAAGTTTCTGTTATAACCTACAAACAAACTTCAAATACTGTTACCCACCCAAATGCAACTCCTTACCTCCATTTTCAGATCATCAAACCCCAAAACCCTAGTCTTTCTCCTCCACACCTCTTTCAACTTCCACACCTTCTCTCTCTCCCTCTTGGAAACCCACCCTCACCCTTTTCATTTCAACCAAATCCTCTCTCATGCCATCACTTCAGGCCTCTTCACTGACCCCTTTGTCTCCAGCAAACTCCTCCACTACTCTCTCTCTTCCTCCCACCTTCTTCCCATCTCCTTCTCAAGCTCCATTTTCTTCCAAATCCAACACCCAAATCTCTTTTCTTGGAATTTCATGTTCCAAGCCTATTCCCACAGCTCATCCCCCCTTCAATCTCTCACCTATTACAATCTTATGAGGCGCAGCAATAGAGTCATCCCGGATAAATATACATTCCCTTTTGTCCTCAAAGCTTGTGGTAGACTTGGGTTGATTGAAAAAGGCCTTGAAATTCATTGTTTGAGTGCCAAGCTCGGGCTTGAGTTTGATGTTTTTGTGCAAAATGCGCTGATATCAATGTATTTTCAGTGTGGTTTTGTTGAATTTGGGCGGATGGTATTTGATATGGTTCCAGGTTTGGTTCGGGATGTTGTGACTTGGAATAGTGTGATTTCTGGGTATCTACAGAGTGATTGCTGTGCCAATGCATTGAAGGTGTTTGGGGAATTGTTGGATGATTGTGCTGTGAGGCCAAATGAGGTTACTGTGGTGAGTGCTCTTACTGCGTGCGGAAGGAATGGGTTTCTTGATTTAGGAACCAAAGTTCATGGATTTAGTGTAGTAAGTGGCTTTGATTTGGATGTCTTTTTGGGTTCTTCTTTGGTTGACATGTATGCGAAATGTGGGCAGTTAGAGGATGCTCGAAAGGTGTTCGATAGAACTCCTAATAGAAATATAGTTTGTTGGACTTCTATGATTGCGGGTTATGTCCAGTCAGATTTATACAAGGATGCGATTGACTTGTTTAGGGAGATGCAAGTTGTTGGGGTTAGAGCAGATTCACCGACAATTGCTTGTGTCATTTCAGCATGTGGGCATTCGGGTGCTCTGCATCAGGGGAGGTGGGTGCATGGTTACTGTGAGAGGAACCACATAGAAATGAACTTACCAGTAAAGAATGCTTTGATTGATATGTACTCTAAGTGTGGAGATATTGAAAAGGCCGTTGAAATTTTTCATGGAATAACCAAGAAAGATGTATTTTCATGGACCGCAATGATCTCAGGCCTTGCAATGAATGGGCAGTCTGAGAAGGCATTGCACTTCTTTTCTCAAATGGAAATGTCAAATGATGTCAGGCCGAATGAGGTCACATTCCTTGGGGTCTTATCTGCTTGTAGTCACAGTGGGTTTGTGGATAAAGGGTTTTACTATTTTGAAGCAATGACTAGATGCTATGGTCTCACCCCCTGGCTTGAACACTATGGGTGCATGGTTGATCTTCTAGGCCGTGCAAACCTTTTGGTTGAGGCAGTGAAGTTTATCAAGTCCCTTCCCATTCGATCTGATGTGGTTATATGGCGATCCTTGCTTTTTGCTTGTCGGAGTCATGGGAATGTAGAACTGGCTGAGTTTGCAGCCAATAAAATCGAAGAATTAGAACCTAGAAAGTGCGGGGCACGTGTTCTTTTGTCTAATGTTTATGCTTCTGCCTCTAGGTGGAGCGATGTGAAGCGGGTAAGGAAAAATATGTTTGTTCACGGAACCCAAAAGCAACCTGGATGCTCTTTAGTTGAAGTAAACGGTCTTGTTTCTGAATTTTTTGTTGCAGATAGTTCACATACTCAGATTGACAACATATCTGAGACAATTTTTGGAATTAATAAAATTCTGCAATCTTATAGTTTCAACTCAAGTATCTTACATTATCGAGAACAATGGGATGGAGTGTAACTAATTTGGATTGTGATATCTGTCTAATTTCCTTTGATATGTACTCATGCTTGAGCCAGACCCTGTAATTTGATGCCAGAAAAATTTATTTACTCTGATCACATCAGTGTTTGAAGATGATGCTTGTGATTAAATTAAAATTGAAACACCAGTTTCCTGATAAAGTTTCTCTTGGTAAATTTGCAAGAGAGAAGCTCCGAGAAGTGGATTTCATCAATAATGCAGGGTTACATTTGTTTAATCAGTGTTGTAGGAATTGGAATTGGAATGGAAGAAATTTAGGGCATGTGCATTCATACAAGCCATGAAAAAAAGAAAGCATCAGGGAATCGTACTCCGTGGGGTCCAAAAGGCAGTTAAAGCATGTGATATTGAAGGGCAAATGTTAGCTTAAATTCCTGTTTTCTGATTTTCCATATCAAGAAATAACCCATTTATGTTCTCTAGTGGCTGGCTTTCATCAAAGGGAACCATTTGTGGAGGATTATGCTTTTAAGACAGAGTGCTCCAATTTGGTGCTGGGCAGAATATTGTAACAGTTGGACAATCAAATGCAAAGAAAGCCAGCCATGTCGTTGCTGCCCAAAAAAGAACTACCATTTCAAGAAATGGAGACACATGCCCTCCACTAAAGCTCAAATATACAACATGCCAATGCAGAGAGAACCATCCTCAACTGGCTGCAGATCTTGATGTTGAGCAGTGAGTCGAGGCTTGAGGGGCTAAAATGCCCTGTGACCACTCTTGAGTTTAGACGTGAACTAAAAATGCGTTAGCAGAGAGGCCTCGGTGTTGGAGTGATAGAGACCAGTTTTGACAATGGTGCCGACGTGAGATTGGAGGAACTATGAATGACATCCTACTGACAGACAGCTTCGAAATTGGCATATTTTACAAGGTTTCATAACAGTAAGATTGCCTCGCTTGGCAATTTTCTGTAAACTGTTGTCTTCTTGGCCCAGAACATATTTTGAAATTTAGTTTGGAAATCTTTGTCAAGAAATGGAGCTTTAAGAAATAAAACATGATTTTAGAAAATTATGAAGTCCAAATTTTAAGTTTTTATTTCAGCAGAATTGTTTTTGAAGGTATAATTTGTATATTTTTTGGTGCAGGCCTGTTTGCTTTTTGAGAAAACTTGGGAAAAGGAAAAAAACAGGTACGCTATTACTATTAGTTCAATTTGCTTCATATTATTATTCAATTTTTAAATTTTAATTCTAGCTAAAATTTTGCGCCACTAGATAAAAATTATGGGTCCACCCCTGGATAAATGTATTTGGCATGCGAAGAGATAATGGTTTGAACTAGGTAATATTAAATACATTTATGCTATGTTTAAATCTTCAATTTGTTAAGAAAATGTTGATGAAAGACAAATGAACCTTGGAACATCTTAACGAACATAAGATTGGGTTAAAAACTTGGGGGCATGGGATCAAAGAGGCTAGGTTGCTTCTATCATATAAAAATTGAAAACAAAGGAGAAATAAATTCATTTAGTCATATCAATAAAATATCAAATTACAAACATATTAAGCTTTGTTTTTAGTTCCTAAGCTCAAGACAGATCATATCATATAGAGAAAATTACTGAAAAATCAAGCATCCGCCTACTAGTGTAGCTATTTAATACAAACAACAAAAGTTTAAATGTTATATATTTCCGTTATTGATTTTGAATAGTGTTGACATTAGGGACTAAAGCATCACATATTACATATTTTGGGGACCAAAGTGGAACAAGTAAAAGATTGAAACTAAAATGTAACAGAATGTATACCTGGGACTTGCCTAGTACCTTGCCAATTCTAAATTTAAAATTTAGGTAGGATTTTCTTTCTTTCTTTCTTTCTTTCTGTTTTCTTCTTCTTCTTCTTCTTCCTTTTTTTTTTTGGTGTGTGTGTGTGTGTGTGTGTTAATTATTATGTTTTTATAAAAAAAACAGCGTTTATTTTTGCTAAGTAAAATCAACCATGCTGACATTGGTGTGTATTTTTGGTAGCTTGGTGTTTAATATTGCCTCTTGGACATATTTAGGCACAGTTTCTGTATATGTACAGATATACTTCGTATTGATAACTGTATTGCTTTTCAATACTCTTATGGGATTCCACAACAAACTTTAAGAAGATATCCCAAAGAAGTTAAAAGTCACTCATGTGTGTGGGTATGTTTTTTGACCCTTTGAGTTATTCTAAAAAATGTATCATTATTTTATTTGATATGGGTTATTGCTGTGTTGCAGGTCCCTTCTTTTCTTTATGTTATTCTTCTTCTTTTAGACAATGTTTCCACAGTTATATACTGTATTTGGAATGAAAGCTGACTTTGTTTTTCCACATCATTGCTTACTGAAGAATTGGCCAGGGTGGAGGGGAACTGAAGTTAACAGAGTCTCTTCTAGAAACGAAGTATGAGATTGTACTCTTTTCAGCTTTAATATATATTTTTATCATTTGTTTAAGTGCTATATTTAATGAGAGATTTCCTTCTTGCAGAATCTTGAGATAAGGAAAATCAACGATAAGAAGAATGCCTCTATGGAAGCTCAGCAGAAGTCACTCTTCGAAGGGTTCATGCTGCTCAAAAAGATGATATACCTCCAATTGAAGCCATCCTTGCACCTTTGGAGGTTGAACTTAAGATTGCTCAACAGGAGGTATTTAGTGTTTTTTATCATCAGTTGCCTTTGAGTTCTTGTTTCAGTTCTTTCTCGATGACCAGAATAAAATGCCTTTTCCTCCTGGAGGCTTTTTGGCATTTTATCTTTCTTGACTTTTGAAATTGGAGGCTCTCTGATTTTTCTTTCGAGTTTGATTTTAAACTTTTATTTTATAGAAGAATGGTAATAAAAAGAAGAGTGTGAGTTCTTTGAAGCTCTCTGATTTTTCTTTCAAGTTTAATTTTTTTTCTTTTATTTTATGGAAGAATGGTAATAAAAAGAAGAGTGTGAGCTCTTTGAGGGTGTTCCTGTAAAGAAGAGTGTGAGCTCTTTGGATGTAATTGTTCCTTTGCAGATTGCAAAGCTGCATTATGACAACAAGGCATTAGATCGCCTGACCAAATAAAATTTGGGGCAAACTGTTGAATATAAAAATTAGAGTACATAGAATATTTTTATTTTTAGTATTATGTATATAATATGTGATTGTGTCAATCATTGATTTAGGCCAAGTTTGGAAACTTGTAAAAAAGCTAAAAAGTCAAAAAGTTACTCAAAAAATTAAAAAGTTAACACTATTCACCAAAAGTCAACAATTACGGCTGCACAACTCCCAATTCTAATTTTTCCCTACAAATCAATTTTTACAATTTTTTATTACGCATTTTTCCATAAAAATTCAAAAAGTTAACCCAAACATCCATATTTTCAACTTCAATTTTTTAGTCCAAAAAAATAAAAAGTGCACTTAATTAGGACACCCCAAACAAACCCTTAGTATTGTGTCCTTATTTATATCGTTTCTTAAATTGTATGATGAATTTGTTATATATATATGGTCTCTACCTTATTCATATATACTAGATTCATTATACAATTTAGGAAACAATATAAATAAGGAAACAATACTAAATCAGTTATTGACACAATCGAAGATTATATTTATAATACTGAAAATAAAAAGATTCTATGTATTCTAATTTCTATATTCAACACAAACTTCACTTTACTCTCTGTGGTTTGGGCCGGGTGCGGATTACCCCCTGACGTTTGGAAATCACCACATAACCTCTTGTGGTTACTGGATTGAAATGCATAATTACAATTTCTGTCAAAACTAACCAAAAGTGTAATTCACGCGCATCTGTTGAGAGTTGTTATGAATATGAAATTTGTTTTCAAATCAAAACACCCTATTAAGTCCAAAATTAAAACCCTACCATTCCTCTACCTACCGGTGATTTGGACCAAGGGTGATGCCAGTTTATGAAGCATGGGTATTTCAAAAAACATGTCGTACCTATATTGGGTACTTACTGGCGTATGATACCTCGTATGGTACTTCTGTATACGTACCGGGTACACGAAACCTGTATCCAAATTTTTTCTTCTTAATTTTTGGCGTACCCAGACGTACCTAGTGTATCCCCAAGTTGTACCATTCCTCAGTTAAAATAATGTTTTCTTCTACTACAGAGATAAAACTCCTTTCACTAGACTTCTCTTTTATTTTTAGTTTTATACTTAACGTGATTTTAAAATTAAACTATGGTTTATAAGTTATTTAATATATTGACATTTAATTTTGATTTATACCTTTACTTTTGACATTAAATGTTAATTATAGGTTGGATCTTAACAAATTAAACTATTTAATTAATTTTTGCATTACTCTAAATTAAAAATAAATATTTTTTTATAAGCGTACCAAGCTGTATCCGTACCCATACTTCTACTCTATTTTTTTGGATTTTACTGTATCGACATACCTGTATTGTACCAGTACCAGTACCAGTACTCATACCCATACCCGTGCTTCATAGATGCCAGTCCAACAATAACCTATGAAGCATGGGTACTTCGAAAAATATGTTGTACTCGTATCGGGTCCTTACCAGCGTATGGTACCTCGTATGGTACTTCTGCATACGTACCGGGTACACGAAACACATAGTTTCTTAATGAACTTATAAACTTACCGGGTACTTATTTTTTATTTTTAGTTTTATGCTTAGCATGGTTTTAAAATTAAACTATGGTTTGTAAGTTATTTAATATATTGACATTTAATTTTGATTTATAAACTATGTGTTTGTAAGTTATTTATAAACTTATAAACTATGTGTTTCGTGTAAGTTTCTTAATATTGACATTTAATTTTGATTTATAAACTTATAAACTATGGTTTGTAAGTTATTTAATATATGGTTTGTAAGTTTTATGCTTAGCATGGTTTTAAAATTAAACTACGGGTAGGCTCTTAATGAAGCACGGATACTCCAAAAATAGTGCCGTACACGCACCGGGTACTTACTGGGTGCGGGTACGCGTACCGGTACGGCTGCACGCGTACCGGGTACGGCAAAAAGTGGTCGGGTACGTCTGCCTCAGTCGGGTACGGCATGGGTACGGCTCGGGTACGGAATGGGTACGCTGATGGTGCGTTTTGGGTACGGCGGGGGCAGAAATCAAATTTTTCAAAAAATTAAGGAGTACCGGAGCAATATTAAGAAAAATTAAAAAGAAAAAATGTATATGCAATTTGCCCTAATCACCTCATCTTCGACTTTGACATTTGCCCTAATCTCATCGAAGCAAAGAGGACTTCGAACATCACCCTCTGACTTCGACTTCGACTTTTGCCCTAATCTCATCGAAGCAAAGAGGCGACTTCGACCATCACTCTCGTCTTCGACAGCGACTCGACCATCACCCTTGTCTTCGATAGCGACCATCACCCTCGTCTTCGACTTCGACTTCGACCCAGAGACTTCGGCTTCGACCTGCAGAGAGGTATCTCTTCATCTTTATTTTTTTTGTTTTTTTTTCTTGTTTCTTCTTTTTTCTTCAGAGGTATAATCTGATGTTAATAAATTAGAACACAAAAAATCATATTTAGAACAAAAAAATTAAAAAAATTAGAACCAGGTTATTCAATCATATTTAGAACAAAAAAAAAAATAGATCAAAAAAATTAATAAATTAGGAAATAATCATAAATATTAATAATCATAAATATTATTTTTAATCATAAAATTAGATCAACAGAATGTTAATAATAATCATAAATATTATTTTTAACCATAATTATAAAAAATAATAATAAAAAAAAAACTGCATACTGCAGCTGTATCCGTACCCTACTTTTTTGAGGTTTTGTCGTATCGGCGTACCCGTACTCGTACCCGTACCGTACTCGTACCCACACCCGTGCTTCTTAGATCTTAACAAATTAAACCATTTAATTAATTTTTGCATTACTCTAAATTAAAAATAATTTTTTTTTACAAGTGTATCAAGCTGTACCCGTACCCTACTATTTTTGGATTTTACCGTACGGCCTACCCGTATCATACTAGTACCAGTACCAGTACCGGTACTCGTATCCGTACCCGTGCTTCATAGGTTAAAGCAAAGCAAGCAAGAAGAAGCATTTTGAATTTGATGGATTCTGCATTTCGAAATCAAACACTGCTCTTAATGGAGGCATTGTACCCACTCTGATTATCCCAATACAGAGACCAAAGCATGACACCTCCATACTTGGATGACTTGTTTATCTTCGGCAATATCTGACCCTTCAACACGTCTGCCAGAATAAACCCACTTGCGATAGCCTAAGTCGTCGCCGACAAACCCATAAACACCTTCGCATCACCCTTGGTCGATCTTATCCAAACCTTCCACGAATCAATTAAAGAATGAATATGCATGGATATGCTTTAATTGATTCGTGGAAGGTTTGGATAAGATCGACCAAGGGTGATGCGAAGGTGTTTATGGGTTTGCTGGCGACGACTTAGGCTATCGCAAGTGGGTTTATTCTGGTAGACGTGTTGAAGGGTCAAATATTGCCGAAGATAAACAAGTCATCCAAGTATGGAGGTGTCATGCTTTGGTCTCTGTATTGGGATAATCAGAGTGGGTACAGTGCCTCCATTAAGAGCAGTGTTTGATTTCGAAATGCAGAATCCATCAAATTCAAAGTGATTCTTCCTGCTTGCTTTGCTTTAACTAATAAAATTGCTTGCTTTGCTTTGATTCTTCTTACTTTGGTCAGTGATTTTTGGTTTTGTTGATCCACAAAACCAAGATGCTGATAAATGAGTTTGATGAATTAACCTTTTGGGTGTTTGCCTTCCTTCTGATAAATGATTTTTTTTTTTTGGTTTTGTTGATAAATGAGTTAAACTTCTGCTTCAAAGTTTTCTAAGTACATTTGGGTCATCTGCTTCGTCTTCTTCACTGAATTCTGCATCCTCTATTTTGGAGAAATGTTGGAATGTGTCTCACATCGCCTGAAATTGCCCCATCTGTGCTGCTTATAAAGCTCCAGTTTCCCTTTCTTTAATACCTGAGTTTTAAGGAGAAGTGTGGGCTGGACTTTTCAATTTGGTATTAGAGCTCGGTTGGGACTGTGATTGGTGTGCCGTTTGTCTGGCTACTGTATATTGTGGTCCATGAGGGCATGTTAGAATGTGTCCCACATCGCTTGGAGTTGCCCCATCTGTGCTGCTGCTGCTTATAGAGCTCCATTTTCCCTCTTCTTAATACCTGAGTTTTAAGGAGAAGTGTGAGCTGGGCTTTTCAATTGTTTCTTCGAAAAATAAATGGGTTTCTGGGTTTCTGTTTTAGGGGTTCTTGGTTTCTGGGTTTCTCGTTCCTACTCTCTCCTACTCCTCCATTGCTCGCTAGAAATACACAAATCAAAACCAAATTTTTGGGTCAAGTTATGTTTTGATCTTGCTCAACAAAAAAATAAAAAAATAAAAATAAAAAATAAAAAAATTACATGCTTTGATGGAAATTATGTTGTTTAAATTAATCTGTTAAATCGAAACCCTAATTTCACATGTCGAAACCTTAAGTTCTCTCCACACATTCCTTACTCTCCACAAATACACGATTGTTGAATGAGAAATTGTAATATAAGGGCAAAATAGTCTTTTTACTTTTGCTATTAACGGTGTTAACTGTGCACTTCAATTTAGTAACCA